CCCCCCCCCCCCCCCCCCCCCCCCCCCCCCCCCCCCCCCCCCCCCCTCTCTCTCTCTCTCTCTCTCTCTCTCTCTCTCTCGTTCACACACACGCACACATACACCCCTTTTTTCTCCCTCCGTCATACTTGGATCGTTAGAGAGAAAATTAGCATTCGCCCTCCGGGAATGACATGAATGAATCGTGGTCTACCTCTTCGTGCTCTTCTTCTTCATGCTCTCCTTCTTTTTTTTTTTTAAACCAAGGCTGATATTGATATTTGATAAAATTGAGGCCGGGGTTTGCCATCCGTCGAACTTAGATCGATACAGAGAAGATTAGCATCTTACCTTCGAAAAAGACACGCGTGAATAATACTTCTCCTCTTCATCCTCCCGCCCCCCTCCCCCGGGTCTGCCTCTCTGATATCCGGCCGCACGCACGCGCGTTTGTTCGATCGACGTGGCATCTACGGAACGTTCTCCCTTTGCAACTTCCTCCTCCTCAGGATATTTCTCCTCTCTCTCTCTCTCTCTCTCTCTCTCGCGCGCGCGCGCGCGGGTGCACACACACACACACGACGTGGTATCGATCGAAGAAACGACAGAACACAAAACTTAAAATGCAGAAATGGAAGAGAAAAGGAAGAAAAAATGAGCACCTGCATTCACATACACGTGGAGGGTTAACTCACCTTCATTTATGGTGGCCCTGTCGTTTTTAAGACTCCACGCAATGAACAGCCCAATCCTCACCGTCTTCGACCTTCACGATACAGAGCCCAACCTCCAGCACGAGCTTCGCCACCACAAATCCGCACGAACCACGCTCGAAAATGTACGCGCGTGCGTATGTGATGAGTGTGGGTGTGTTAGCAGCGTAGCGAGTCGACAGCCCAAGTAGCCAGTAGAGAGTCCTCTCTCTCTCTCTCTCTCTCTCTCTCTCTCTCTCTCTCTCTCTCTCTCTCTCTGTGTATGTGTGTGTGTGTGTGTGTGTGTGTGTGTGTTGCAAGAACGAAGGTATTTCACGCCTCTCTCTCTCTCTCTCTCTCTCTCTCTGGCAAGAACGAACGTATTTCACGCCAAATCTTCGCGCGAACTTCCACCTCCACCCCGGTCAAAAACACCACCCTCCTTTCCTGCTCTCTCGCGCAGCAGCCCCTCCCCTATCCATCCGAAAACGTTCAAACACTCAGATCTGCAACCGCAAGTTCGACAGAAAATTCGCTTCCTGTATTCTTCGGGTTATCCTCTTCCGTCGGTCCCGGGCCCAGTGGTCCCACCTACATCTCTCCATCCGACTCTGATTCACACGCCATCGATCGTTGTAATCTACGGCCGAAACTGAAGAAGAACAGGCAAAAAGCCTCGCGAAGACATGATGCTAACCGAACCAACTTTCGGCGAGAACGAAGCTGCGGCCAGGGCCAGAGTCGTCGAAGCATTTCGGCATTTCTTTTTTTCTTTTTTTTTCCGGTGCCCTTTTCTTAATTTTCTTTTCTTTTATTTATTTATTTTTATTTTTATTTTATTTTTATTTTTGTGCCCTTTTCTCTTAGCTCGTGCGACTGCTTGTCATGCTCCATAACTGCCAGCAAGGACAACCCACGCTGACCATAAACGGCCCAAGTTTTTTGTTTTGTGTAAAATACTCCCATAAATTAAGGTTTACGCCAAATTTACGCCAAAAATGCCCCTGAAAGATGCGGGTAGAGCCCAATGTCCTTTTGGGCCGAACTCTTTGTGTTGTGCCCCTGTTAGGCGGGTCTGCAACTTTGCGATCTGGGCATCGCCGTTTGGGCCTTAGCCTTTTGCAAAAGCGCCTAGGAAAGGTTGGCAAGTACTGGGGCATTTTGCGAGGTTGGAGGTTGGACGGTACCCGGAAGGGAATTTTGCAAAGATGGGGGTCCGTCAGACGCCAGGGGTATTTCACGAAATCCTTTTTCTGTCAGAGGGGCATTCCGCTCTATACATCTTTTAGGGGAATTTTGGCATACATCTCAACTTATGGGGGTATTTTGCAAATATCCTGTTTTGCAAATATCCTTTTTTTTAAACAAAAACATTCACTTTCATTTCAAATCAACACTTGCACCAAGGCCGGGGACCTCACACTCACACCTGAGTTACCGGCCGGAGTTACCGTGGCAGCATTAGCCGGTTTCGCTTATGACTTCCACATACCTGACTGAGTCACCTCTCGCCTAAGATACCCTACTATTATCCTGAGTAGTCTTAGTTATATACCTTCTACAATTGTACTTAGGACCTCAATTACTTTCAGTTATTTTCAACTTGATCGGATCTCCAAAATAGAGAACGACTTTGTGACTACCTCTAATCGTCCTACTTCTACTTGGTCTAAGGCGACCGTTGGGACTACCTCGTCCCAGTGGACCGAGATCCTCCTATTAGTGACCCTCTCCTACTTGCCCATTGCGACACTAAGACAGCCGAGTGCCCTGGTTGTTAAAAGTGGTCCA